AGCTGCTTATCCTAACCATAAAAATAGATTTGTGATATATAATATATACATATTTTTCATCTACAGTTATTGGTTTTGGGTTTTTTGTTTGTTTTTTCAATGAATATGGGTCAAAATCGTAAATACAATTTAAGTTTTGCTTACATTTGCTATTTTTGGCATAAAAATCCTTTTAGTTTGAGTTATTTTTCCCATCGAATGAATGACAATATTTGGAGAAGTAAAAATTTTACTACTAAAAATTATTATGACAATAGATTTGTGTTTGGGAATTTATTAAAGTTCTATAAAATAAAATATTTAATAAATTTTTGTGGAGAGGTTTCAAAAAGTAGAGAACAACAACAATTATTTTTTTATATATTATCTTAATGAATTGAATTTTTGGCGACCATACAGACCATGTTACGAGTATTGCCAAATACCCATCATCAGTGGTGTTGGAATTACTTCATATATTTAATTATTCGTAAATATCTTTTTGAGACTGCAAGTAACAAGGGTTGAACTCGTACCCTGCCAAATTTGAAGCGCTCAGAGTCAGCGTTCATTAGCCAACTGACCTAAATTTTTATATAGTAAAAAGACATATAATAAAATTTTCATCTTTTTAAAATGTTTTTTAAAATATTAAACCTTAACCTCATTTACTGATTCTTCATTAAATCTTCGGTATGACACATATTACTATATCAAAAAAAGTACCAGGCACTAGTCAATGAAGCATAAAATACGCATTGTTCACTAAAATTTATTGTATCGCCCTTAAAATACGTCCCTTCCCAAATAAAACATTTACGCCAATAAATAACAGCAAAACATTTTTTTAAACACATTATTTGAAATCAGGGTTTCTAAAATATTGATTTCCGGTAGTTTCTTGACAGAATTTATACGGTGGCAATGCATGGAGAAGAACACTTCATGGAGAAGAATAACATCCTTTAAACGATAAATATCCATTTCATTCCATAATTAATTTACAGCAATGGTTCCCAACCGGTGATCCACGAGATGTTTAAAAATAGTCCGTAAATCAAATTTAAGACCTCACTTATTAAAAAATATATCTATTATATAGTCTATATAATTTACTTACTTATATAATTTATTATACATTATACCAGAGATTCATGAAGCTAACAAAAATAATCTTATTCTTAAACTTTGTAGTCTCTACTAAAAACAAAAATATCACAGTGGTTCTTGATCCAAAAAAGGTTGGGAACCATTAGTGTTTTAACAGATTAATGTGTTTTTTGTGACTGTATTTTTATAAACAATAGATAAAAAAAAATTTAATATCTTGGTTAAACATAGATGAAGAATAATACTTTTAAAGCCAAGCAATGGCTTAATAAGCATTATAAAAACTCTGTTCTAGTGAAATCAACTATTACTAGGTTGTTTAAGCTTTGCCAAAGGTTCAAGTTGGTTTCAAACTTCCGACTTTTTCCCTTGTACGGAAACACAATGGGCCAATAATCCAAAGGCGATCCTTTTTGCATCGCCGGTACAACCTAACTAACCTCCAAACTTGTTAAATTTAAAGGCAATCTATAAACACCGAATATACTAGTCGCTTTAAATCAGCTGCTATTTCGGAAAACAGAAAAAACTCCACAAAATAGTTTTGAAAAACCAAAAAAGTTTTGTGAAATAAATGAGACCTTAAAGACATCGGAAGATATAGTGTTTACTATGTCAACTACTTGTAAATTTGTTCATGCGTACTGCTTTGATAAAAAAGTATAGCATTTGCTTACAGCGAACCAGAGTCAACAAGTGTCGAGTCGTTAAAATAATAGTTAAGATAAAAGAATAACACTTGTATTTCCATCCACTGTAATCTACAGAACTGAACCTGGGACCTGGGTTGCAGGGGGTGAAAACTGACTTAATGAAGAAGTGATTACAGAAATTACGGCCTACTTTAAGATCAAACCATATCGTTCTACTATGATCTCAAGAACACTTTATTTGTTGTTTAGACGGCGGTACTGATCATGTTACAACCATATAAAACATTTTACTAAACACATGTGAACATGTCTATTTCTCATGATTTAACAAACCTCTATTTTTCAACTATTATTCCACCGACAAGTTATGTACTTGCAAAGCTTATTGCACATCCATCTCTATATTCATTTTCCAAAACAACTAATCACTTCCGTTCCTTCTACATATTATATATATTTATCATATTATAACATGAATGATATGTATTTTCTTTGTAATATTATTAATGCTGTTCTTGTACTTAATGGGTGTCACATTAAGTGCTTTTATTTTCCATTTAATATTTTTAAGTCTAGTACATGCCGACCGACATTCGTTTCGTAAAAAATTAAATTAGTTTATTCTGTTTGCCACGTGTCAACAATGAATGCATTTGTTTGTAATGAGTTGAATATGTAAAATTCTAATAATGTTTTAAAATGCATTTTACAATGACGTAAAAGAAATTTGATATTCTAGAGTTGGAAACAATAAGTTACTAAGCAGCTAGTAAAGTGCAATTCAAGTCACGTGGTCTGGGATGTACCTTTTAGTTCTGGTTGTTGGTTACGAATTCTTATTAGATAAATTAGCATCATCATTTTGTTGCGAGTTACAATCATTTAGAATCTATACTTTATTATTAACAAGTCCTCATAATCAAAATAGTTAATGGATTACTGAAGGAATACAGTCTACCATACCTCAGCATAGTCACAAGACATTTTACCATTCTACCACAAAACTTAATTATTTTCCAGTTATGATCACAAAAGTGAATTAGAAATCGAATTCAATTAGCTTGAATATTTATTTGGCTGCCAAATCGTTTTATATTTTCTCTTACTTACTAACTAAGTTGATCTTTACGGACAAGTTTATCCATGACTACTTACAGTAGTCTTTGCCAGATAACTTGCTTTGTGATTTGCTGTCGCCAGTTGATAAAACCGAATTAATTAATTCCTGATTCTATTATTTAAAGTGCGAATGTCGTATAGGGCGTTCTCGAATAGTTCACTTTATTATTCGAAGGGTCTTCACTACGCTTACGAAGTCCCCGTTGGCAGAAAGTATTTTATTTTATCTTCCTTCATTCTTTTGCTTGTTTCTCTAACAGCTAAAAACAGCTGTACTGGCGGCCAACAAAAGTGTTTCAGACGACATACTCTAGCAGTGATGATACGATTCAGTTCTACCGTTCAAGTTATATTTTGAACATTGTTACATTCAACTTAAGATAAATATGTATATATCACATTAAGATATTATAAAGATATTAAGATATATATTACTGAAATCATGTTTCGTGTCGAACGCTGAGGAATGCTCCTTTCAATTCTAATAGAACACGTAAACAGCTTCTACTTGTAAAATCAAAAGTGATCTAAAATCAAAAAAGAAAAATTGTGTGTCAATTTATTTTTCTATGGTGAGTTGCAAATCAGGTCTATTAGGTTTAATCAGCTGATTTACAATTAGATTGAGCCTTTCGCATAGTTTTTTTGAGAGAAAGTTTTAGTGGTTTGCAAGTTGTCCGTTTTTGTGAATAGGGCAAAACATATGTAGATCCCAATTATAAGAACATGGATTCATTCGACTAGATTTAGAAAATGTCAACAAGCCATCGATTAATACAACTTTCATGTTTTTGAATCGCGTTAAGAACTGACTTTTAGTGGTATATAACAGAATAATGTATTTTACACATCTAATGTCATGATATGCTCTCTGATAACCAATACTCTAAGATGCTCCGTAGAGATATCAGTCTTGTCGTAGACTTACTCACAGGGCATAGCAGAAGAAACCATGCTAGAAGTTTGTATCTCTCTTTTAATTATATCTGTCGCATAGCAGAAGAAGCCATGCTAGAAGATTGTATCTCTCTTTTAATTATATCTGTCGCAGTTGTGAAGAGGACAATGAAACTGCCTCTCAACTGATTTGAACTTGCCCAGCATATACGCGAAGCCGCATTAATTTATGTTACCAAAAATATTTACTTCTGTGTTAGTAATATAATATTATGAGTATTAGGAGTAACATCCCTACTCTAGGGGCTACCTTTTTTGAAGATCTCAACTGCAAAACGTCTCATTAAAAAGTCTTTTACGCTTTGCCAAAGGTTCAAGATGATTTAAAACCTCTGCGTTTTTCTCTTATAGCCAGTAAGCCTAAGTGGATCTGTATGGATCGTCGGAACAACATAACATAACCCAACGCTCTAATATATATAAAGTATTCTATTCAAAACGATACGCTTATATACATATTTCTGATTTTTAAAAACAATTAATTTTGAGTTATTTTTTAGATCAGATATTTCCTTAATATTTTATTAAAATCTGTTGTTATTATGTTCGTTGTTTTTTAATATATATTATGTTTATATATACAAGTTCTAGACTCTTTTAATTCTTATAAATTCTCTTTTAAAAATTAATGCTACCAATTAAAATGAAAAAAAAGGATATTTAATATGGCTGCAGAAGGTTTACGTCAGTGTTTACTACTATGGAGTGTTGATTATTGGAACTTGGATGGTAAGACAAGGATTTGAAGCAACGTTTTATTGATTCTTGTTTTAATTAATATTGTAAAATTTATTTTCTGAAAGAAGTTCTTCGATTTATATTCCACCTTTTCTATATAATTTATTTACTCGAAATTTATATTTTATTATAATTTTCTAACATATCTCTGGATATCTAATATATATTATTCTTATTTCTGCAATATGAATATTATTATTGCACTTTTAAAAATCTTCTTGGGTTCGTATAATATTTTTTATTCAATAGATGTGCACATTGATTTTTGAATCATCCATAATTTATATCAACCTTCCAATCAAGTTCTCGATATTATTTTTTATCCTTTTATGTTTTTTACAATTTTATTGTGTTTTTCTTTTTCAAATTTCGTATTCTGTGATTTACATATTTGCTCTGTGATTTCCTATTTCTGATTCATTTATGAATTTTTCATATTCACAGTGATGGCTGACACTGCTTTCAAGTCACGCGATATCGGCTTGCGTGCACAGAAGAAAATCCTTTCACGGATGGCAACAAAAAATATTGCGAAGACTTTTATTGACGGCACCACAGCTTCGATATTAGACAATTTATATCGTTTGTGCAAAACACACGTAAGTTTTTTAAAACACTCACATACATACACATGTGCCATAGTTGGTGATAAATTTTATATATATATATATGTATAATTTTTTTTATTTTTATAGACTGGAAATAAAGTTAAAGCTGAGAAGTTAATAAAAAATATTATTAAAATTGTTATAAAAATTGGTGTACTACATCGAAACAATCAATTCAGTTCGGAAGAGCTTAAAGACGCTGAAATATTTAAGAGGAAGTTTCAGGTAAGTGTGAAATGAAAAATGAATATTAAAGATACAAGACATGAATAGCAAACTATCAATATTTACTTAGAAGTAAAGGGAGAGAGGGGGGAATAAGAGAGACGTAGTAGGAGAGGTGGAAAAACAGGGAGACAGATAGCGAGTGATAAAGAGAGAGAAAGTAATAAAAAGAGGGAGAGAGTAATAAAGAGAGAGAACGTGATAAAGAAAGAGAGAGAGAGTAATGAAGAGAGAGAGACTAGTAAAGAAAAAGAGTAATAAAGAGAGAGAGAGAGTAAAAAAGAGAAAGAGAAAGTAATAAAGAGAAAGACAGAGTAATAAAAAAGAATAGAGTAAGAAAGAGAGAGAGTAATAAAAAAGAATAGAGTAAGAAAGAGAGAGAGTAATAAAGAATGAGAGTAATAAAGAGAGAATAATAAAGAGAGAGAGTAAAAAAGAGAAAGAGAGAGTAATAATAAAAATAGAGTAATAAGGAGATAAAGACTAATAAAGAGATATAGAGAGAGGAAGAGTAATAAAGAAATAGAGAGAGAGAGAAATAAAGAGAGAGTAATAAAGAATGAGAAAGTAATAAGACGAAAGAGAGAGCAATAAAGAGAAAAAGAGAGAATAATAAATAATAGGAAGAGAGTGTAATGAAGAGAGAGAGAGCAGTAAAGAATTGAGAGAGAGAGAGAGAGAGACAGTAATAGAGACAAAGTAATAAAGAGAAACACAATAATAAAGAGAGAGAGAGTAGTAAATGGAGAGAGAGAGTAATAAAGAGACATAAAGTAACAACGAGAGAGAGGCAATAAAGAGTAGAACAACAAGACAACTACAACAACAATATTTAGAAAAAATACACTATATAAAATAGTGTCAAAAAATATTTTCTAGTGTATTTCTCCTTGGCACAATTTTAGCTATGCCACTGCTGTGTAGAATTGTTATTGATATAAAATATGGCACTGCGGTCGTCGGGTCTATTGTACCCTGGGAACTATTCTATTAAAGAATAGAAGAATAGAAAAAGGAGAGATTAAAGCTAATCGTAAACCAATTTAACCTTAACAGTTTGCTGACAAAATATATTTTAGAGAAGATCCAAAATAAAAATAAATCGATGTGAATAATCTTTCTATTGGATTCAAGGCAATTTTGAGATTATGGAAGCTCACTCTCTATAGCGTTTTGTTGCCATTACAAAATGGGAATTTTTTTTATGTGAGATATAACTTAAAACACACTATATTCTTCCACTTGACTATATTCATGTGGAAATGAGTTAATAAGCAGCGCTAATTATGTGCTACAATTATAAATGTTTAGAAAAGATATGCCAAATCGGAACTATAAACTTAACTTTCTACGATGTTTCCATTACGATTAATTGAATAATATTATATTGTGTTATTAATGCCGTACAATTTTATTTCAAATTAAATTAAATTGTGTTTATTTTCTCTCAATAAAGTCCTGAACCTCCTAAAACACTTTCTATATTCTGCGCTTAATCTAAAAACCGGCGTCCATTTAATTTATTTAAAACCTAAAAATATCATTCTATCACTATATTTTCCAACTTAAATATATTATAAACTTATTTATAATTTTTATTTTTAGAATACTCAACTATCCATCATATCGTTTTACGAAGTCGAATACAGTTTCGATCTGCCGTATCTACAAAAATCTATAACTGAATCACATGCCGCCCTCAAGTCAATTGTACAGCGACACCTCACCGAAAAATCATTAAACCGCATTGATGAAGTTTTCGAATTCTTCAGTGATGCAACGTTACTAGAAACTGCATTTAAACCAGACTCACCATATCGTGAATTAATGGGCAAAATTGTGGCCGATATAAATACTGCCATGGATACTGGAGACATGTAAAAAAATGTTCTACTAAGCAACAACAACAACAACTAAGTTTAAATTGAATTTAAACAATATACCAAAAATTATTAATAATAATGAAATAATTAAAATACTGTTAATTAAGCTAACATAACTTTTGAATATTTTTTTAATGGTGATAAATTATTATTTATAAAAATATAATATAAAATATTTTAAAATAAATTTCAAAAATAATAATTACAATATAAACTAGATAATATATAACATTTATAAAAAGTTGCTTAAAATTCAAAACGTCCTGTTTTTAGTTTATAACTAAAAACGATTTAATAGGTTATGCAAATATTTTTTTATTAATTAAATATAAAAATCTATATACTATATTATATTGTGTATTAAAATATATGAACACAAAGGCACAATTTTTTCAATATACATATATCAAAGAAAAGGCTAATGTAGTTGAATCAATTAAAATGTTGTTATTATTATAATTTATAGTTTAAGACGAATGATTTTCTCAGTGAACAACAAAAAAAAACAAATTATATTATATCGAATTTGTTATTTTTAAAGAGAAAAAAACAACTGTTTGGTATTGTATTTATATTTTAAAAGTATTAATCACAATTAAAGCTGTAACTATTTGTACTTTTGTAACTTAATCCTTTTATATATATATTTAAGTATAAGATGGCAATTTTGTATTAGAAGTGTTGTTATAGCATAATTTTTTTATATTGTAAACTCAACTGTTATACAAAATAATTTTTATTATACGAAATTTTTTATTTTATTTTGTCTATTAATATAAAATTAAAATTTAATTAGCATCGAAAATCAAAAAATAACTAAACCGCCGTTACGTTTTTGACCACCAATATTTTATATATAAAAGTAGCGATTTTTATAACAATTTTATAAAAAAAACCACAATCAAAATTAGAATTCACATTAAATGGCATTTGTACTTAAATTAATTTTATTTAATTTAAATATGAAAATTTAAAAAATAAGATCTCATTAATATATCCTCAATGATATTTCGTGCTATAACAACAACAGGCTTCAAACTATATAAATTTTAACTAAATGTACTATGTAAACTTTATATATCAATACACTTATATCACAATATTATTTACTTAAAAATTTTTCACTTTTTTTAACAATTTATTCTGTACTTTAAATGCAACTTAGCGAAGTCTATTATATTTATTTATTAAATTAATATTAGTAAAATTAGTTAAGAGAGGAACTTTGAATGATATTAAAAACAAATATTTTATAAAAATAATAATTCAAAATAGTAACAAATGTTTGGACCAAAAAAAAAAGTGTATATATGTATACATATATATACACAACAAAAAAATATATAAACGTGCATTTATTGTATAAATTGAGCATGTTAACGTATGATATTAAATTATTATATTATATATAATATACTGTATGTTCTTAAATAAAAATAAAAACATTGTTTAATTATAAACTTGTAACCTACAAAAAAATTTTTTTTACTCTTTTTGCCACTTACAAAAACTAAAGCCGAAAATAATTCACTTAAAGTCTTTAATTTTTTTTGTTTTAATATTAAAATATCAATAAATATTTCCTCTCTTTATTCAGTATATGCGCTTATATATTAAAAATCTTAAATGCGGTGAGAGTAGTGAGTTAAAGTTTTAAGAACTTAAAACCTTTTTGCACAGCATTAAAATAAGAATTAAATAAATCTAAAATAGTTTTGCAAATTGATTTTGCTAAAGATTTATAAATACCAAATTGTGTAATTAATTTAAGAAAAGCATTCCAAAGCACTTCTTGCACCGCGTTGACAACTAAAAGCATATAAAGAATTAACACATATCTATTGTATTAACTTATTTTATATATACTCTGTTATATTAAGAAAAATAATTTACAATGTTCTTTTTTGTTTTTGTGTATTATTGTTGTTAAAAATATATTATTTTTTATGTTTTCAAAAAAAAAATTCTTTTAATTACATTTTATTATAATAAAATTGATTGATTTAATTTTAAATAATTAAATGTTTTAATGACCAAAAGAAATTTTTTAAAAATAATTATTTAACGGGCTAATTGGTCAGTTCTTAAATAATGATCAATTATTTAAAAAAAAAATTTATTATTTAGTTTTATAAGATTTTTATTGTCCAATATTTCGACTATAATAGATTATTCATTTTAAATTTCATTTTTACAATATGATGTATCTTAAATTAATATATAAATAAATATAAAAATAAATATAATTAAAATAGCGACTGTGACACGATATCGTCCGTCGATTATAGTCGAAATATTGAACAATAAAAAAATTTTTTTTTTTAAAAATAGATCATAATTTAATAACTGACCAATAAGCCCGTAAAATAATTATTTTTAATTTTAAATTTAATTTAAAATCAAATATTACAAAAGAAATAATTTTTTGAATAGAAAATCTTCGAACAGTAGTGAAATACAACAATACTGTGTTTTTTATATAAAATAATAAAAAAATTTGCATAATAATAATATCTTTCTAAAAAGAATTGTACTGAAAACTGACGGCGAGAATTATAATTAGTTAATTACATTTTTACATAGCTTTGGTTTATGATTTTTTTTTTATACATCAAAGCATTCAAAAATATTGTTGAAAAATTAACGGAATTACAAGTTAGAATAACAACAAATGTAATGTTGGTGAATTTGTTGGTGAACATTAATAACAATTTAATAAATTAAAAACAATAGAAAATAAATAAGGCGTTGGATCATTTGATTAATAAACGTGACTGCATTTTAAATTTAGTCAGGTATACGGTCATACCTTATTTCTTATAGTCTAAAAAATTATTTACGAATCATTAAATCAATAGAATATTACCAAAGAATACTGATGATAAGTATTTGACAATACTCAAAACAGTATTTTTTGGCGTATGGTCATCCAATAACTTAATAATTAAAAAATAAAAAATTTATTGCAATTAACTACTGTTCAAATCATCTTTCCATTCAATAAATAATTTAAATAAATATTTAAATTAAATCAAAAAAACATTTAATGAAATTATTATGTTATCTTAAAAATATACAAATATTTTTCTTAAAACTTTCTTCTCTTAAACTTTTCTATGTATTCATTTATATATTAATTATTTGCATAATCATAAAAGTACTATTATGATATATTTATTAATATTTTATATACACGTATTTAAGTTATACAGTCTTATTTTAAGTTTTTTTTAGGGATAAATGTGTTAGTTGAAATTTGTTAATTTAATAAATAAAAGCAATGAAAATAAAATTAATTTTGTTATAAATAATTTTATACACTGCAAATCAGAAGTTTAGAGACAGCATATGCCAAATTCTGCTAATAAAAAACTGAAATAAAAATCAAATAGAAAGAAAAGTATGGTAATATAAATAATATTTTCTATTTAACATAATTAATTTTTTTATTATAAAAATAATTAATTGACTTCTGTCGCATTATAGTTGAAAGCGTTGATCAAAAAAGTGCATAAGTTAATGATATTTACAATTCAAGAATGTCTTTAAAGTTGTGTTTGACAACACATCAGTTTCCAATTGTGATGGTTCTAAAACGCAGGCTATATCGGATCCGACCATCCTCAATAATGGTTAATAAAAATTACTTCAACATAAATAACAAAACAGGTGAACTTAGACAATTTTTTATAGAGTACAAGCCTGGGCGGAGGCGGAAAAATTTGGCCACTTTAATAGGGCAGCTACAAAGTTTATACATGCGTCATTCCGATATTTTTTCAAATTAAAAACCTGTAGTCTAAGATATGCATGACATACAGCAAAAAATAGATTTATAAAACTTATTAGTGGATAAACTTAATCATTATACTTTAGTAACACAAAAAGTGAATAGTATTGCTACAATCCGATTTACAGCTTTATTCACCTGCCAATTTAGTTATAACTTATTTAAAAGTCGAAATCAATGCCATATAATAGAATTTCTATACAGAAAGCCATATATCAGAAATCAAATACGTCAGATTTTAATGTATTGAATATTTGAAATTACCCTTACTGGTCATTGGTGTGTAGAAACTCACGCAGAGAAACTGCGCATTTTCCATAACCCACACTGCATAAGTTGTGGGAACCCGCAGGAAAAAGAAACCATAATATATTTTCTCTGTGAATGCCCAGCTTTGGCGTCCAGAAGATATTGGTTCTCAGGAAGATACTTCTTTGATAGTTTACCAGATTGTTCATGGGTGAATACGAAAGACCTATTAAATTACTTAAATTCGGCGGGATGGATTTAGTCTCTACTTTTCTATACTAGGGTTCTTGCGAGGAAGGTGGTAACAAAACGACGAAAATTCGCTAATTGAGGTACATGAAAGTTTTATATTATAAGTAATCTTTTTTGGAAGAAGCATATATATATGAGTCTGAAGAGATGATGATTTATAGGGCAGAGAGTCAAAAATTATTATTTGTCAATGATCCTTTATATTACTTTTACTAAAATATAGCGATTAAAATTGAAAGAATTTAAGAATTTTCGTAGCTCACACATGACATTAAGGTACTGGATATGCCTTTCCAACAGTTAACCGATTGTATTAGACTTTTTTTGGTAAACTAAATTTTTATAGCATGAAAAAATATTACAATTTAAATGTTTAACAAAGTTTTTTAGCTTCTGTATTTAAATACACTACATATTTTAAGTTATAATAAATTATTCTGCACGTTTGTCAGTCAAAACTTTTTCTGCTGTACTTTCGCTATCAGCAAGTTTTTGTTTTTTGAATAATTCAATTAGTTTCTCTGTCGCCGATTGTTCAATATCTAAAGGTTGTGATGCTTCTTTATTAGGATAACTTGTGAAATTTTGTTCAGGATGGCGTAAAGTGAATGGTGTCCATGGACCTTGTATAGAAGGAACATCAGTATGCCACATTTTACGCAACCTCAGTGAACTCGATGAGCCATTTTGTGTTTTGAAAAGTTGCACCCACTTCGATATTTCTTCTTTGGTTAAATTTCGGCAACTAAGCCATTCGCGATCACCATTTACTAAAAAAATTTTGATTTATAACAATTGAATAGTAGTTTATTTATAGATTTATATTTACAATATTCTCCAACCAAAACAGGGGTACGGTGACGTCTAGGCTTTACATACACAACGACACCAGGATTCTCTTTGGCAAAATCAATTAAATGATTTTCAATAAATTCTCTATTGAAATGTATAAGTAAAATTTTTATTTAAAAATTATTGATAAGTGATTACAAAACAAACCTCATGCCTTTGCTGGAGCCATTATTTTTACAGAATTTTAACGTAATTCTCTGCAGTTGGCAGACGTAACGTCCTATACCATTTTGTAAAGGCGCACGGGGAAATCCTGATATCATAAACAAATGACTATTCGACATTTTAATTTATGATATATTTTTATGAATATGGAAAGTTCAATTTATTAGCAAATTATCAAAACAAAATAACATAACCAATAAAAATAAAACACAGAAAAAATCAGGGTTGTTGAACGCGGTGAATAAATTTGGTATATGACCAGCTGTAAAGAAATTTGTTATAAATTGATTCTGTCTATATAAGTATTGACTTCCTTAAAAAATATATTAAAAATAATTACAGAAATAAATTTGTTTCAGTTTTAATTTTCTTTTAAAGTCAATCATGATGAAAAAACTAAATTTAAATTGTCTATTTTCTATTTTAATAAAAAGTTAATATATACTACCAAACGAATTTTGAATTGTAAAGCGAACACACAAAATAATTTGCTTTATTGCTTTTACTTGAAAACGTTTTTGTATTTTAATTGTAATATAATCTCCTTTTCTCAAGCGGTATTTACTGTTTTTATTCTCATTTTTTCATTTATTCTATTTTTCTCGAACGGATCTATTATATATCTAATCTTTCAAGTGAAAATATAGTAAAGTTAGAAATTAAGATAAAATTGATTTTTCTTCTTAAATAAGAATTTTACGCACAAAGCATAAAAGGTTTGTAATAAAAATATATTGAACTAGATATTTTTATTGCCAATAATTCTAATTGAAATAAAAAATTTTTTATTATTATGTGTTAATTTTAATCTTAATTATACCTATGAATATTTTTAATTGTATTAAAACAATATGTGTGGAATATTTTACATGTTGAGCACTGAATTGAAATCTAAAAGCTGCATGCCGAAACTTATGCATTAGGGAAACCGTAAAACGACATAAAACTAATCGCAAACAATCTAAGGAGATGAAAAAGCATCAATAAGGCCGTATGCTTCTCAACGAGATAAAGAAATTAACAACAATACCAACATTGTTGGTATTCGTGAAATGAAACAACGAAATATTAACTACATTAACATACTCAGTTTTTGCTGCAGTTTAACATGTTTAACTTATATGCTAGTAACTAAATAGTACTTTAGGAAATATATTTGTTGCTTAACATGTTTAACTTATATGCTAGTAACTAAATAGTACTCTAGTAAATATATTTGTATTAGAGTGGTATAATGTACATACAAACCTAAAGTTAAAAACTCAATTATGAATCAATTATATTTTCAATTATTATATTCAATTTTAAATGTAATTCAATTTTAAATTTAATTTAATTTAACTTTTAATTCATTTTCAAATTTAATTTTATATGCATTACAATTTTAAATTCAGTTTCATTCAAATTTTATCACCACCAGTAATAATTCACCACTCATATCAAATGTGCAGTAAAATATAAAATTTGCTCAAAGCAACCCTGATTTCAAAAGCCGGTCTGCCAAACAAAAAAGAGAAAACAGTTTCAAAATTAGAAAACATTGATAAGAGTGCGTTCAACGGCCAGAAGCCAGAAAAACAACATACCAGTGCAATAGAAAGACGAGCTTCAGAAATAAAACGACAACAACAACAAAGTGCATTGCTAGCAATAAGTAAGTGTTAAGTTAAGTGGAGCAATGTTTGCTTTATTGTGCATTAATTCTAATGTGATAATTAAATGCGGACATCTGTGTTGAAAGCGTGTAAGTGGAAGAAATGAATTGAAATTCACTTGAAGAGTGTATTGAACTGAATATCGATGCTAAAACAGATAAAATGACAAAAACGAATGCAAGTGAATCTAGTAAGACGGCATGCAAGCGACTTCGAGTTGTAGCGGCAGATGAGATGCTGCCACACGAGATGCAACGAGAGTGGCTCGAACAAAACGAAGAAATGGTTTTAGAAAATTGTATGCGTGTGCAGTTAAAATAAAAATAAAATAAGTTTCTTTTAAAATAATCAATATTTTTATTATAATTACAGTGAATCTAGAGCTAACATCAACAGAAAATTCTGATGAAGATTTAGTGGAAGAAGAGGAAGAAGATGAAGTGGATTCATGTTCATCGTTTAGTTTGCAGGAATGCATAAACGAGTTCCGTGCACGTCGTATACGTCGCATATCTTCACACAGTCGGGATGTGCAAAATGAAAACCCAACCACACAGGTTACGAGTAATGTAACGTCTTTAAATAATAAAAAAAATAATAAAGACATAGATGATGCTGATTTAATTAAACAAAACCGTAGCAATAGAGAGCAGGAACGTAAGTGTAAACCTTGTAAAAATGGTTTCTGCTATTGCTTTACAAGCGACAGTGGGGATGGCAGTTGTACTGGTTTAGGAACGGCACGTGGCACACACGTGCGACAGCATAGGCGTCACAAAAATGAGGTATATAATATTATTTGCAGTTAATTTTATTTATTTATTCATGTATTTTTTTTTTATTATTAACAGCAAATACAAGTTGCTCAACAACATAACAAAAAACACAAAGAAAAGCAAAATGATAACTTGTCACATCGTCGTGTCGTAGATGACCTACAAATACCGAATACAGTGAGATCCAATACAAGTGGTGAGTTTTTAACAGCATTTAGTCGTCTGGAAACTACAACAAATGATGAACCACTCATACATATTATACAAGAGCTACACAATAATTGTGTTATATCCGAAGTACGTGTGAATAAAGAAAAAGCACTAACACAAAGATCATATTCGCAACCAGAATCGAAAAAAATGACTTTAAAGGGAGAGGTGAATAAGACATCTCCTGTGAAAGAGTGGTGTAAACCAACAGCACCGCCTTTGGAAAAAATTACCGAAAATGATAGTATATCTGATACTTCCACTTATGTGTCGGCACTCGATAAAACAATCAAATGCGATGAATGTACGCACCGCAAACATAAAGCTGCTGGCCGTTTATTACAAAAACGTTTGTCGGCAACATCGGGTCAGATAAAGCCCCGAAATATTAAGGAACCACCTCCTAAGCCACCGCGTAGCTCAATTGGTTTTGAACACAAGGATTCGGTTAGTTCACTTGTGTCCACTTCGCCTTCAGTACGTGAGGCAGAGCTTATTGTTGATAAGTTTCTTGTTTCGAGAGGTGTTAAGATAAACACTAGTCCAGCAAAATTAAGAAATAAGGATACGAGTAGGAAGAGTGGCAACGATTTACCGCATAAATCTGTTAGCAAATCAGACAAAAGGAAATCATATCCATTAAGTAAGTTGATTGAAATTTAGTAGTTATGGTATTTTAATTGTTGCTTGCCAAACATTAGTAGAATTTGTAGTCAAAAAGTTGAAAATAAACATTGTTTAACAATATGTTTGTGTTTCTTTGTAGTATAAGTCATTGGTTGTGGTACTCGATTTGTAGTTATAGTATTATATTGATTATTATAATAATGATTTAAGACTTGTTAGTCTGAAAAATATTGATTTTAAAAAGTTAAATTATATTTTTATACATTGTAATTTAACGTCAGTTATGATGGAAGTGACTATTTTACGCAATAGAAACTATTGACTATTGATATACTATATTTAGGGTATATATTATTTATAGACTATAGTCACTACTTCTCGAAATCTCTTAATTCAATTTTTATTCATAAAGTTAATTTATTTGCTTTTGTATTTATATTGACATGAAAGTTACTTTGTTTATGCTGTAAAAGTTTATTCCAACATTCTTGGGGGGAAGTTAGCTTCTCACAATTACTTAACTTTAAAAGATAAAGTAAGCGTACTTAATTGTCGCAGACTACTAGCTTTGAGATATAAACCTTGCTTTTATTAACATATGGAGATTTACTAAATTCATATTTACGATTAAAATAGTTATTGTTACTTTATAATACCAGTTAAGCATATTGCAAAATGGGTATATTAAGCTTAAAAGGGTAAAAGGAAGAGCAAACTTATATATATAATATATATATATATATAATATATATATATATATAA